TTACTTACACGTGGCTCTATGGGATACACAATGACAAGCACCTAATTAAGAAATGCAAACCCAACACAGAGTTTCATATTGTCAGATGGAGATGGAGAGTCTGTTTTTCAAATGCAAGGCAACTCGTGCATTGCACATGCTCGGAAGGAATCAGTCACAGTAGGGTCCTGGAGGGGGTGATGGGATGGTGGCAGCGGAAGGGACAGTGTGTGTGGGTAGCCACTTTGGAGGCAGGACACCGGGGACTGCCAACCCACCAAATCAACGGTAGACGGACTCAGCCCATCGCCCCCAACCCCCAGTGGACTTGTTGTAAAGATCAAACGGGACCTGCCTTGCAGCTTCTTGGTTCTATAACACCTGAAGTTATAGCATTTATCCCTCGAGAACCCAGGCCTCAGATCCCCCTAGAACCCTCTGAGGATGCTCACAGGGCATCAGTACTGGTACCATACTTCTTATTTTTTTTTATCGTGGTAAAATATACAAAACATGCAATTTACTGTCTTAATCATTTCTAAATGTGAAGTTCAGTGGTATTAAGTACATTCCTAATGCCGTGCTATCATCACCCCCCCGTCCATCTCCAAAACCCTTTTTATCTTGTCAAACTGAAACTCTGTACCCACTAAACCCTGACTCCCTATCCCCCCTTTCCCTTTAGCCCTTGGTAACCACTGTTCTACTTTCTGTGATTTTGACTGTTCTAAGTACTTCATATAAGTGGAATCATGCAGTATTTGTCTTTTTGTGAGTGGTTTATTTCACACAGTAAAATCCGCAAGCTCATGCATGGTATTAGCCAGACCATTTCTGACGGTGCCTCTCCCCAGTGCTACTACTAACTGGCAGAAGATGCCTTCCACCTCATTTTCCTCTTCCAAGAGGGGAGGAGGGAAACGGAGGCCAGAGGAAAGGAGTGTCTCGCCCAAGGACAAGAAGGCTCAGGAGGGCGGGGATCATTAGAGCTCCATTCTCTGCGTCCACCCCTGGCTTGTAGGGCAAAGGCCCTGTCTGGGGATGCGGAGAGTCCCTGCATACACCACGTGACTTCAAACCTGGATCTTCACCTTCATAGCCTCAGTTTCCCCTCTGTTCAAATAGCTATAATAAAAACAGACTCTCCTTTCTCAAAGAGTTGTTGTAAAGATGAAATGTGGTTTTTTAATGCCTTCAAAAGATAATGTCTTGTACAGGAAAAACGTGTGGCTACAAACCCAGATTCATGCCACACAAAGATCAAAACAAGCGGGCTTAGGAGGCTGCGTGCATTCAAGTAAAGGGTTGGGAAGGGGGGCACTCGGCCAGGGCTCCTCGGCCCCAAGACCGGAGCTCCACGCCCCCGCACTGTTACTAAACACTGCTGCTGAGTCTACTTATCCCCCTAGGAAATATGTGTCAGGGGTCCATTCTGTGCTGGGTGCTCTGCCAAGCTTTGGGGACAGAGGCGGACAAAGTCCTGACTTCATGGAGGCTGCTATCTAGAGAAGGAGGTCGTCCTTAAACAGATAGTCACAGGAATGCCCACGTGGTGACGACTGGGGCAAGGGCTAGGAAAGGGTGGGGCCGATTCCCAGAGAGGCCTTCCTATGAGCTGGCATTAAGCCTCAGAGTGAGCTGCAAAAAGGCCACTCTGGGGGGGTGGCCTAAGTGAGACAGCATGTCCAGTGGCCCCACGTCATTATTTCACACCATGGCATCATTGCTGTCCATTGTGAAGTCATCTAATGACTGCGGATGGTTCCTGGGGACGTGCTCTTTGCTGTCACCAGCTGAGGCCCTTCTGACTCCTCCTGGAGGCCATAGTTCAGGCACAGATAGTCTGGTTGGCAAACGCTGCTGCCTTCCATAGAAAGGGCATTATCTGTCATGCTGTAGCAGCTGCCGTCGGCCGTGCTGAAATACTATTTTACTATAAATACAAGAGTATAGGTACTTGTCCTGTGAAATAGAAGTTCTGCATGATCAAACCTGGGAAATCTCCTGCCTTTCCTTCCTGGATTGGATTACATGTATTTTTAATGGAGAAGAAGGGAAAGGGGAGAGTGGGAGAGAGAGCAGATCCCTGGCCATGAGGGCAGGCCTGTGTCTCATTCTCCACATAGGGTCTGGCATACCTGGGGCAGACCTGCTTCCCTGCCTGCTCCTCACAACCCACACAACCCAAGGCAGCTTATTTCACTTTCCTGAGGCTTGAGAGACTGTACATCCTGAGGGGATGTTGGGAGGGAAAGAGGGCGGGGGGGGGGGGTTGTCTGTGATCCAACCTGTTTCCAGCAATGGGATGAAATCCTCTGAGGTCTGGAGCTGTTTACAGCCCTGAATTCTGCCAAGTACCCTTCCCTCTCTCCCCAACTCCCTTCCTTGCTTCCTTTGCTCCTCTCTCTCACCTTTCCTTCAGTACTCAAGCTAATTTGGGTAGATTTTCATTATTTGCTAGCAGAGAAATCTCGGTGAACACCCTCCTTCGCAAACTTGTGTGAGGACTAAATGAGATAAGTGTAAGAGAGCTTGACGTGGCACGGAGCAGGCAAGCAGAATTCTTGAAGTGGTATTTCCCAAGATGGGTTGAATAACCTCTGATACCACTGGGGGCTGGGGGGATGCAGAGGGGGGCAAACCAGCTGTATAGGGTTCCTTGGGTTCCCCAAAGGGTTCCTTGGTTCATCTTTGGGAAACACAGGGTACATTTTCCCCTCTTGAGATTGCTATTGATCAGCATATTCAGAACTGAAAGATCTTCTTGTAAGAGAACACAGTTAATTTTGCTTAACTCTGTGTTTCCCAAACTCATTCAAATACCAAACTCCCTTCTGCCCTACATTGCCTAGGCAAGTGCCCCCAGGATTGGGCCACACTGCTACAGTCAATGAGGGCTGGCCTGGAGCCCCTCTAAGTCACCTTAAAGCTCTCAATCCTTAATATTATTACTTTTCACCTTCTCCAAATCTTCAGTAGTGAATTGTCATGACTGATAGGCTCTTTGTTGCAATTCAGAGCTGTTTTAGCAATAGGATTAATGCCTGTGGTTAGAGATTTGCTCCGGCTCTTATAGAGAGAAATACATATTCTCATGAGGAAAACATTGAGGGTTTAGACTTCAATAGAGAACCATTTGTGAGGGTTGGCACTCTTTTACTCTGAAATCCCCCAATCAGAAAATCTGGAGCTTGAAAACTTATAGAAAGCATCTAGTTCCCCATCACCATCCCAGCGGCCATCAGAAGCCTTAGAGGGGAAAGATTTTGGTCAAGGTCACAGACCTCTTTCCATCTCACCATCCCTGTACAGCAGAGGATGACATAAATAAGTGCATAGAGTGGACAAAATTGACCTCTGACCACTGCTGCTCTTGTAATTAAACAGAAATGTTAACCTAAATCAAATGGTCTTTCCACCACCATTACTGCTAACAATGCCTTCTGTCCAAGGAAGGTGGAAAGGCATTGCTCTCAGGCCTGCAGCAAGCCATAAAACCTGCCAGTGCTAATGAACCATTGCTTGAGCCAATTAAAACAGGAAGCAAAACTGTCTTTAATTAAGGCATCATGCTTCCCATGGGCTCTCTCTAACTTATACCCAGAGGAATTGGGAAGCCCCGCTGGACCCAGTTGCCATGCTTTTGGAAAGCAGTAAACCAACTCTGTTTAAAAGGGATCTATCTGGGTATTGAAAAATCTGGGTTCTAATCTGAGCTGTGTAGGCTTTAGTTTCTTTATCAGTAAAGTCATCCCTTTCCTTCACTCATGTCCATCAAATGGTTCTTGAGCATCTACTGTGGGCTGACCCCTGCAGCCAGGCACCACGGACACAAGGACCACAAAGGCTCAGTCACTGCTCTCTGCTGGCCTGAAGTCAACGGGGTCCATGCAATGGGATAACTCTTGTTCAATAACTAGGCCTGTGGGTGCTTAGAGGAGGAAATAACTAATTCTGTTTGGGGGTTTGGGGAATGCTTTCCAGAAGGAGAGACATGAGCTGTGGTTTGAATAAGGGTTAGTAAGATAAGGAAGGGATAGCAGGTTCTGGCCAGAGGGCAGCCTTGAGGAAGGTAAGGATCAGGAACCAACAGGACATGTCTAGGGAACTAGGCTTTGCTTAGAGAGGCTGTAGCAACAGTTCTAAGAATGGAGGGTGGGAAGTGAGGCAGAATGTGGACAGATAGACACAAGGTCACATAGAGCCTCTTCTGCAAAAGCTGCAAGGCTGAATGTTACTTTGCAAGGTGTGGGACTAATCCACTCTAAAGATGTGTAATGTGCACAGTGAAATTAAATAACTAGTCAGCTTCACAGGCTGTGTGACTCTGGGCAACTCAGTTGCCGCAACTGTCAAATAAGAATAATCACACTATCCAAGAGGATTCAATGTTCTATTGGCAGATGATTCACTGGGCAGTGAAATTTTAGGCTATAAACTGTGGTGCTCAGCCAGGAGAAAGAGAGTTCAAGATCTGAGTGCATGAGTGCATGTGGGGCAAGCTTGTATGCCCACATCAGAGAGAAATGCTGCTCAGATGACCTGGGATGCCACTCTCCTTCATCAATGACCTCTAAGAAGAAACACAATCAAAACAGTCATTGCTATTACCCCCATATGATATTCTGCCAAGCACATTTGTCTCCCCCATTTCTTTTGATTCTCACCAGTGCCCTATCAGGTATGTGATCATTGCCTTCATTATGCAAGAGAAACTGAGCATCAGACCGGAAAGTGAATTCCCTGAGGTTACACAGAAGTGGGTGCCAAAACTTGTTCTAGTTCTCCTGACTCATGGCCCAGCAAGCTGACCAGAAAATCCTAGCAGGTTACCTCAGGTGACTGTGCATGAAACATCCAAGGCTCATTAAGTCACATTCTCAAAAACCAGGGTGAAAGTTCCTCTAATGAATTCATGAGTAATATGAAAATTTTCTCAAAAACATATCGCCTTTTTCTTCTCACTTCCATCCCACCATTCCGTGACTACCAGCTTCTGGGCACGTTCCCCTGCTCCTCACCTGTAATTGCCTAGGTAGACTCCATCAGGGTTGAGCATTGGTGCAATCTTGAAGACCAGGTGCTCCCGTAGGACACGGGCAATAGGGTGCTGGCTTATAAGGAAGTCAATGATCCCTAGGGAAAGAGAAGAAATCTGGGTTAACCTCAAAGTGTTTCAAGAAGGAAGGAGAACATTTTCCTCAGCTTGGAAGCAGTAAGAGTTCCGAAGGTGATTTTTGGCCTATGTTGTCAAGCATGGTGGGTGTCTGGCTATGGATTAGGTGTTGTCTGGTGAGTTTTATAACCATATCTCTGTTTCCAAGGGACAGTTCAAGACATAATGTTGAAGCCCACGGGCAGATGGAAGAGCATGTGTCCTGCTGCAGAGTATCATGTGGGCGTCTAAGAAAAGAGCACTTGGAGGGCCTGGATTTTGACAGATAGAGATAGACGAGAGGCAGGGTAACTCCGAACAATGAATTAAGAGCTACTCTCTAATGTCTAAGTGTTGACATTGGATTGGACAATTACAGGGTCAGGGACTCAGGGATCTAAACCCTCCTGTTGCTGGTGGTTTCACGAGAAGGCAGAGAGGAGGAGGAATTTGGTTACAGTCACATGAGGAAAAAGAGGTTTCTTCAGTGTCCCAACTCTACCCCTCTTCCCAGTTTGAGATCCCGCTGTTCACAGGCCCTGGTTCATGCTGCTTCTCCTTGCACCAATGCTTGCCTCCAGGTGATCAAATTTAGAAAAGGTGAATTCTCCATGACTCTCCAGCCACAATCAGGCAGGCCCCAAGTCTCTTCCTTGTATCTGGCAGATCTGCCCTGTATCTCCATCCCTCTGCTACTTGTCTTTTCTAGGCCACCACCACATATGGCCTGAATGACTGCGACCACTTTTGGAATGTGCGCTTATCAGCCAAAGGGATCCTCCTAAAGTGCAAATCAGAGCCTGTTAGTGCCCTCATTGACTTCCTTCTGGAGATAGCCTGCGTAGCTTGACAATGGGTGGGGGGAGGAAACAACCCAAGTTCTCACCCTACCATTCCCTCCCCTCTCTACATTTCAACTTCTTCAGAGACCTGGGAAAAAGGAGGCGAAGCGGAGCTCTGGCATTCTGAAATAATTGTAATGTTTGAAAGCGGTAGGAGGGTGTACAAGCCTCCCAGAGCATAGAAGGGAACACCTTTCCTGCTGGAGAGAGAAGGAAAGGCACCAAGGAGAAAGAAGCTTTGGAGCTGGGCCCTCAAAGATAAGCACGTTTTGACAGACAGACAGGAGGAAGCAGCAGGGTAACTAAGAACAATCCATGGGCCAGAGGCAGGCACTTAGCTCCTGGAATGATAAATGGCTCCACAGCACATCCCGAAGCTGCTGTGACCAGTGAGGGACATCTCAGGCTTTCCATCAGGCCAGGGCTCAGAATCTATCGGCAGCTGAAAGCCAGTTGGACATCATTTACTTCTAGACCAACGTGGCAGTAGACCAGATGCCCTAATTTATTTGTTGGTCTTCATATTAAAGCTGCAGTTTGCCAGTAAACAGGCAGGCTAATGATGCCAGGTGCCCTTGTTAGGGGCTAATAATTGCTTAATCTGTCCACTAATTGACCCCGGCTCCCGGGGCAGCCCTCCATCAAGGAGCCAGGCTGCACTCAGGGCCTGGACACGCTGCCTCAGAGGATGGCAGAGAATGGCTTTTGGAAATGGAGTAGCTCATTGTGATCCATCCTCCTTCACAGATGAGCAGATTAATTGGGCTGCCAATTAGGCAGCTAATAAAAGGATGAGAGAAGACAAAGCCAGGCCAGAAGCTGCAGCCATCCAGAGCTTCCTCTCCCATAGTGAGTGTGGGGCAAGGAGAGGAGAGGTTTTAGACTCCTCTTGGCTGGAGGTCAGATACAGTTCAACAGGAATCATTCTGCATGACCAGAAGTGGGAGGAGAGTCTTTTGTGAATGTGTGTGGGGGGTGGCAAGTGTAGAGTAGTGTGAGGAGAAATGTTGGAGAACATAAGGGTGGAGAGGAAATGCCGCCCCCCTGGCCACAGACCAAAAGCCTCCCATGGACTGAGGAAGCAGAAAGACCTGGGCACATGCATTCACCTAACTGGTTATCAGCTGGAGAAGCTACTAGTTTTCTCTGGCTCGTTTCCTCAGCTTGATACAGGAATAACAATACCCAATCTGGAAACTAACCCATGTGTCTGGGTTAGAACACCTGTACTTGAACTGCCTGACACAACACCTGGAAATGGTCATGCGTTTTAATCAACTCACTGAGATCGAGGATTGAGAGGCAACAAGGATAGAACAAGCTGAATGGAATTTGGAACTGGGGGTCCTGGTCTGTGAGGTTTGCTAGCTACATGACTTGGGAGCAAGGATGCTGAGTTGAAGAAGCCAGCAAACCAGCCATCGGAGAACCCAGGTTCTAGCTGTGCCTCCGTTACTGGGTGAGCTTTAGAAAGACTCCAGCCTACTCTCATCTTTAAAGTTAGGAGAAAGAAATTGATAATTCCCAAGGACACATTCCACACTGGCAGTCTGGGATTCCATCCTTTTATTCCTGTCCCCCAGAGTTGAAGGGTCCTCATCTATCAAGTGAGGAGAATAATCTCCCTCCTGCAGGGGAGACACAATCAACCTCCTTAGATCAGTCTCTGTACCTTTGATAAACAAGTTCGCTGGGTCCTTGCTTTTGAACTGATTTAATCAGGAAGGTGGAAGAAAGCAGGACAATAGGAAGACTGGAGGCATGAGAGGCTGGGGAAGGGGAAGGAAAAGTGGTAGATGATCAGAAATTATAGCGAGGTCACAGAGCTCACTGCCCTGGGCTGACCTCAGCCTGGTCGTGATGAACCTCACCAGGCAACCCCAATGAGCTATTCGTTGTTATTTCTCCCAGTGTACTTGGTTCAGGTCAGGGTACACAGCAGGTGCCTATTAATGCCCACTGGTAGACTGGCCCCAGGCATTCATTTGGCCTTGACAGAGTATAGGGTTAGCTGAACTGAAAATCACTCTTTCTATAAACATTCACAAGGCCAGGTCTGCACCATAAGCCTGGAATTGCAGGATACAGAAGAGTTCTTGCCCTAGCACTTGCACGGTGGGAAAGCAACTCCCATTGTAGTGACAGGCAAAGGCTCAGGCAGGAGTATCTGGGGGAGCCCTGAGGACTCAGAGCGCCTAGGAAGGGGCTGTGGAGAATGGAGATGTAAAGGATGAGTACAGTGAGTCCAATGAAGGGTTTCCAGGAGAAGGAGCTCTGGGCTGGAGGATCCCACACAAAGGCCAGAAGGTGAGGAAGAAGGCCTGTTGGCTAAGGAAGAGCTCTTCAATTCAGGGGCATAGCTCTATGATTAAAGGTACAGACTATTCAAGCTATCTGGGTTTGAATAGCTGCGTGGCCTAACGTCTCAGGGACTCAGTTCCACATCAGTTAAGAAGGAAAGAAGAAGGGGCGCCTGGGTGGCTCAGTGGGTTAAGCCTCTGCCTTTGGCTCGGGTCATGATCTCAGGGTCCTGGGACTGAGTCCCTCATTGGGCTCTCTGCTCTGCAGGGAGTCTGCTTCCTCCTCTCTCTGCCTGTTTCTCTGCCTACTTGTGATCTCTCTCTCTGTCAAATAAATAAATAATATCTTAAAAAAAAAAAAAAGAAGGAAAAAAGAAAACTACCTTGGGGATTGTTGTGCGGATCTCCGTGAGTTAGTAGAAGGAAAGTGTCTGGCACGTAGGATATGGGCATGTGTGTTGTCTGACTTTGCTCCCATTTGGTTTGGCTGAAGGTGTGGGGAAGAGAGGATGTTGGGAGAGAAAGGGAAGAGGTAAATGGGGATTTGCCAGTCCAGCTGAAGGATATGAGGGGCACAGGAGACCACTGCCAACGACAGGGACCGACCTGGGATCCCCCACTGCAGTGTGGAATGGTGTTTGGGCTCGGTGTCCTGAAGGTGGGCAGAGTGGAGGCTGGGGGTAGGCCTAGCAAAGAGCCAGCGAATATAGAGTCTTGCAGGCAGGAACTGGGGTCTGACATGGGGCTGACCTGCAGTGACCAAGGTCCAGGAAGTCGCGAGGATATAACAGGTGCAGAGGAAGCAATGTGGATAGATGGTGACACTGAGAAGGACATTACCTGTCTACCATCCCCAAGAGCATCACCACCCTTCACTGAAATGACACAATCCTAGGGAAAGCTGATCCCCAAATGACAGAGATTTAAGTTTCTGGTCCTTGGAAGAATAGGGCTTCAAAATGGAAAATAAGTTCAGTTACAGAAAAGTCTGGAAAGTTGTGTTTCCTGTGCCCTGGAGGTTTGGGGATTGGGGCTTGCATCTGCTGTTCAAGTCCTTCTTCTTGCCAGACTGTGAGCTCCAGGAAGGCAAGGATGGGTCTACCTCTTGGCCACTCTCTTGCCAGCATGTAGCTCAGCACCAGGCATAGGGAATGTCCGCAGTAGGTGCGTATGACTAGAAGGAATAAAGATGGACCCGGGATGTGCAATGTATGCTCCTTAGTGGGGCTGAACTGTAATTCTATTGGCTCCATGTACAGGGATCAAAACAAAGTCAGAGTGGTAACATCACTTTGCTGATGTCTCACAGGGGCCTCAGTGGGTTTCAGATCCAGTTCTACAGGCTTCAAAGTGGTACCTTTTCCATTAAGGCAATATGGAAGATTTGCATGGGATCTGTAGAATGTTTGCATATACGCCTTCAGGATTTTCTCTCTAGAGAGTTCTGTGTGAGGTTGCTGTTGCCTCTGCTAAGAGGCAATCTGTTGCAATGGGAGGAGCCCAGGCTTCAAGCAAGACACTTGAGGGTCTCTGTGGGACCCAGAGTGGGGGTCACACGAGAACAGCCACTCTAGGCCTTCCCCTCGTCAGGCCCCTGTCTGCCCTGAGCTGAGTCCAACAACTTCAAATCATGGAATTGCAAGGAGTCTGGCCCTGAAGAACCTCAAGTTCCTGGTCTTGGTTCTGACCTTTCCACCCACAATGCTTCCCATTTCACAGATGAAAAGACAGAAGTTCAGGGAAGTGAAAAGCCCATGACCACCTCTTAGTGGGTCTGGTGTTTATTTACACAGGCTGTAAAGGATAGAGAGAGAGAGAGGAGCAGAGGCGGCATAGGTGAGGGATAGGGGTGGGAGGAAAACAGTGGGGGAGGGGAGGGGAGCAGAGGCAAAAGTCACCACCTCACCTTAGGAAACATTAGGTTGTGCTTGGTCCTAGTGGTTGTGAGTGCATGGAATGTGTAGACGTGTGTGTATCTCCCCTCTCCTCCTCTTATCTCCCCAGAGTAACCCCAAGGAGTGAGCTCCCTGAGGGATGGTCAGCTCTATCTCCTTGTCTGAGCCATGGGGGGCCCCGTGGCACGTGGCAGCAAGGCTCATTTAACCCTCACAGCAGCCCCTCAAGGACCATATTGCTGCCTCCATTTTGCAGGTAAAGAAACAGATGCTCTGAGAGCTGGGAACTTGCTGAAGGTCTAGGCCGGAAGGTGGAGGTGGTAGGACTCACACTCGGGCCTGCCCAAATCCAAGGCCTTGGCTCTGCCCACTTCCCCACGCTGCCCTCCAAGGGGTGGTAGGCCTTGCTCATACTAGATAGCATAATTTACTGGTTTGACTAATTCAGTTACGAAGGGTCTGCAGAGGACAAGTGTTCTGCCACTGGCACTTTTCGGAGTTGTCCCAACAACCCCCGAAAGCTTCAGTGAAAGAACATTCACTCGACCAGAAATCAGACACCTGACCAAACCTCGGACCTGCAATCTGCTCTTCCTGGAGCAGAATTGAGGAGGGCTCTGCTAGCGGCTCTCTCAGGAAAATAGCAAGGAAGGAGGTGGGCTGGGGCACACGGCACAGAAGCCACACACCCACGTTTGCATGCCTTGTGGGGGTCAGAGGAGCCATACTGGACACCAGCCAGGTGCTCCACAGTAACACTTCCTTAGGGCCAAGGGTATTCCAGACACTGTCCTAAATGTTTTATGGCTACGAACTCATTTAATCTTTACAATGACCCTATGAGGCAAGCTTCCTACTGTTATATCCCTTTCAAGATAAAGGAACTGAGGCACAAGGTCATGCTGCCCTACGTGGAGGAGCTGGGGTTCAGGGTCAGGCCGGCTAGCTCCACACACTGCACTTCAGGGCCCCTCCCGAGCTCCTTGGACCTTTCCTGTCTTGGCTGGAAAGTGAGGATAGTTTGGCCTCCCATATGCCAGGAGTGGGGTTTGGGGCAGCCAAGGGATAACTGAGAATCCCCCATCCAACCACCAAGTGGGGCCTTGAGGAAATCTGAGCCTTGCCACCTTTACCGCCGCCCCTCAGAGTTCTAGGACGACATAGTTTCCCTCTGCTCCCAGCAGCAGGTGCATCAGCAGCTCAGCTGTGAGGACCGTGCTCCCAGCCAGATGGGGAGGTCCAGGCCCCACATGTCTGTTCCTCACTCAAGGTCACTGAGCCGGTTAATGTGAAAGAAGCATTAACTGGGCTGGAGGTATCTCAACCGTCCTTCTAGGCCCTCCCCAGAACAAGATGGGTTGGAGAGGGGATCCAACTGGGCCCTGTGGGGCTGTGGTCTAGCCTATCTCCCGCATGGTGAGAGACCCAGAGAGATGGTGCCTTAAGGTGTCTTAAGCTGCCTCAAGAAAGGGCAAATTGTGTCTCCAGAGACAGGTACAGAGATAGGGAAGGAAGAAGACGTGTGGCCCAGGCCACATCTGCCATGAATTCACCATGTGTCCTGGGTAAGCTACTTCACTTCCCTGAGCCTCCCCGTTCTCATCTGTAAGTGCACATCAACTGTTGTGGGGTACCCAGGGCTCACCAAGCTCGGCCTTCCAGCACTTCCCATCCCTGAGTGGGGCAAGAGAGCTTGTACAGGCTTGGGAGTCCCAGACTCAAAGTCCCACTCTGCTGTCTACTGGCTCTGAGCTCCAACTTAGAATCCCAGAACCAACGTGGCCATTGTCCCCCATAGCTGTCCCATGGGGTAAACAAGATAACCCCATTTTCCAGATGTAGAAACTGATACTCAAAGATCAAGCCCTAGGCATCAAATAGCTCACAGTTTAAAGGGAAGAAACAAATATAAATCAAATATGTAACAAATCAGGGTGATAAAGATGACCAGCGAGTAACCACAAGGCAGGCGCAAAGCAGAGGCTGAAGGGTGTGGGATGGCAGCCCATGCGGGGTTCTTGACATGAATGTTGGGAGACAGGAAGTGTTTGCCGGGCGGCAAGGGGTGGGCAGAGGAACAGCACATGCGAAGGCCCGGTGGTGGGAAGAAGGTTGCCTGTTCAGGGTTAAGTTGTATGGGGCAGGGATAGAATGAGGCTTGGGCCACGAAACCTGGCAAGAGCCAGATGGTGGAGGGTTGTGAATGTCACGGCAAGGAGTTGGAGTTTATCTTGGGAAGGTAGAGGGAAGGCATTAAAAGGCTGTGCCAAGGAGTAAACATTGATGGAAAGCCTGTGGAACAGCACAGAGTCTATCAACTCGGTACCTTCCAGATTCCTTTTTGGGAAAGCAGGCTCAGCAGAGAAATCCCCCGAGCTGAACTCAACTTCTCTAGGTCTCAGGCCTTGTCTGTAATGTGGGGTGGTGACCCTGCCCTCTGTCTGCTGCCCACAGAGGAGGTGGGTCTGGGAGTTTGGGCTCCCAGAGCTGAAAGGTTTGACAGTAAGGCTACCGTCTTTTTATAAACAAGGACAGAATAGTTGCATCCGATCAGCTGGGGGAACAGGTCTGCTGCCAAGTTTAGTAACTGACAGATGGCTGCAAGTAGAGGGGTTGGTAAAACCAGGAGGGACCTGGGAGAGGTTACTTCAAGGACAGTGCTGGGAGGAAAGAGGATGGAAGTGAGAAGGCCAAGGAGTGAGCCGGGGGGACGACAGCGGGGAGTTGAGACACCCAGGCTCTGTGGAGCGGCTCAGGTTTAGGCAGTCACTCCCTCTCCCCCAAACCCAGGCTCCTGGTCTGAAAGAAGTGGGGAAGCAGTCAGGTCTAATGACAGTGCTGTATGAACACAAGCAGGAAAAGAAGACTCGCGTCTATTTGCAATAGTGCCTTAGAGTTTACAAAGCAGGTTACCTACAGCATCTCAGAGCACCCTGGGGAAGGGGGTGACGTCTGTTCTAAGTGTCTGCTGAGTGCCCGGCATGGGACTGGGTGTGGGTTTGCAGGCGTCCTACCCCAGCTTCATGGCAGCCTTTGCAAATAGGTATTGATATCCTAATTTATTTTATGTTGAAGGAAACTGAAATCACACTGCTAGGAAGTGGCAGAGCCAATGTTTGAGCCTAAGACTCTCTGATGGCAAATTGCCAGATACTTCCATGACAATCCGCAGTCTCCCTCAAGTCATATTATTTCTATGGGTTTTGTGGTTTTTTTTTAAATCCCTTTGACCTGAAGGTCATTTGGGGACTAAAAGGAGATAAATTACTTAACTTCTCCAAACTTACACAATTATATGTAAGAATACGGTTAACATTAATCCCTATGATGTAGAAAAATTAATATAATTAAAATAAATTATATTAATGAAAATAAATAATAAAAATAAAATAAAATATGTAAAGTGCTTAGAACCATGCTTGGCACATAGATAGTATCACATATTTAATATATGATATATGCACTAGATAGGTAAAAATGCAAGTGTATTGGTGAGAATGTGGGACAGTGGGAATGCTCAGGCATTGCTGGTGGCAGTGTAAAGGTCTCAGAGAAAAACCTGCGGAGATCACACAAGTCCTGTGACCTTCCATGTTATTATATACCCTGGAAAAGCATCTGCACGTAGGCACAAAGCAACGTACATGAGGATGTCTGTATCAGCTCTGTCCGTAAGAAAAAACACTGTAAACAAATGAATTGTCAGGGAGAACAGACAGGGAAGTTGAGGCTCCTGTCAGACATGGGCTAGGGTACCTGGTGAAAAGAAGTGAACTCCAGCCACACCCACCACCACGGATATTGGGTGAAAACAAGGGCCAGGGTACATAGAGTGATACTGTTTTTTAACTTTATCAAAAAGCTAAACAAACACGTGAAACAAAACCCTGGATGGTTTAGGAATGCTTATATGTACAGTAAAACTATTGAGAAAGATAACAAAATACAAACTCCCAGCTACCTGTGGGAGGAGGAAGGGAGAAGAGAGGACAAAGGATTGAAAAGGAATAGATAATAGTCTTCTTCTGAAGCTGGTGAGTACCCTGGCATTCATTAAATTGTTATTTGTGTATTATTTATTGAATATACTTCTTTGTTCACTAATTGAATATACACGCTGTATGCATATAGTTGACTAAACATATATTTTATGTGGGCTAAATATTTAGTAATAAATGACAATGCAATTATAAAGAGGTATATTTGAGATGAAAAATTGTATCTCATTTACCTCTGGTTGTCTGATACAAAGCATGTTTCCTTGCTCATAGTAGGTATTTCAAAAGTTGTTTGTTAAGTGAATGATTGAATAAATGAGTGAATAGATAACTTCTAATCCTTATCGCCTCACTTCCTGCCCTCCTACCCATATACACATTGGCCTGGGGCCAGATTTCTTAATTTGATAAACCACTGGAGAGAAGAAAACCCAGGCTAGGCAGTGTAGATGATGCCATATGGCTTATCCTCATCATGACACATAGGACAGAACTCCATTCAGCCCTGCCCATCTATCCACCCAACCATCCAACCATCCAACCATCCAACCCACCATCCATCCATCCATCCATCCATCCATCCCTCTATTCATTCTTCCACTAATACATGTAGTTAGTAAACATTTATTGAAAGAAATACTAATGGAGATCAAGTATAACCTCTTTAGAAGCAATGTAAATTCAAATCCAAGATAATGACTCTGCATATGACCACACTGTCCCAGAGGCCATCATGGTGCCCCAGTTGGGTGTGGGGGGAGGCACAGAATGCCCACGAGATTTTGCAACTCACCTTGGCACACAAATGAAGAGGGTGTTTCCCCCGGGTGCACTCGTCCTGTGATGAACACTACCTTCTGCTCTGCCCCTTCCCGAAGGTTGTCTGTAAGAAAAAATGGAAGGCCATTGCTCAGTAGGGCAGGGAAGACTGGGAGTTGGTATGTGGGAGAGAGGGGCAGGGAATGGACTGGGTGCTTTACATTCATTTCTTAAATCAATGGGTGAGAATCATTAAGGCCCAGCCATTGTTGACTAATTAAATTATGTCCCCAACTACCCAATATTAAAAGACTACATTCCTATTGGTGCAATTGATCATGTTAATATTACAATCATCTGTAGATGTCATGAGTGAAGCCAAATCTCAGATCCACTGATTGTGACCCTAGGCAAGTTATGCATGCCTTCTGAGTTTCGATTTGCTAATCTATACACATGGAGAGTATTAGTGATTAAACAAGCTTACACATTGCCTAGGACACAGTAAACACTCAGTAAATAATGGAGAAAAGAAATTAGCTGTTTCTCTTAGTCACAGTAGCAGCTACCATTTAATTAGTGCCTTGTGCGTCAGGGACATACTATACATAGTTCTATAGAAACGTGTGTAGTTAATATTCCTTTTATAGAGGCAGACACTGATGCTCAGAGAGGTTACATAACTTGTCCAAAGTTACACAGTTAATAGGCGTGGGTCGAGCTGAAATGAGAACTCAAGCCCTTGTTTGGCCTTGATGAAGTAACAGGGACCAGATTTCCTTTTCAACTTAAGAAACAAAATAATTGACACATATATAAAACAACTGTTCTCAGACAAGAGGTAGTGCCAGATTCATATATGGAAAAAAGGGCACAAATGAAGTTTGCCTTGCCTCTTTGCCTAGAGGCGCAATCCTGACCAAAGAACAGAGAGAGGTATCTTGAGCAGACCATGGAAATCTCACTGAGATTAAGCTTCAGAGAGTCTGAAGCAGGTGGTAGTTGGGGGGAAACTGCACATTCCAGAGCAGACAGAGCTCTGCAGGAAAAGAATCCCAGAAATCTGTCAAGGAGTCCTCCAAAGTGTTTGCAGGGTCTCGAGATGTGCATGCAGAGGGTGAACTCCACGATGCCATGTAGAAATGACTGGAGAGCTGTGAACTGTGCAGGTGTTGGCTCACACAGGGCTAAGAGTCATTGGAATTCCCACCACCAAAGTGGTAGTCCTCACTGACCATTCAGGGCATTCAGGAGAGAGCCCGGAAGGGCCATGTCTTAGTGATGGGGCTAAACCTCTCTAGACTCATTCTAATAACATTTGAAAATCACAAAAGGATCGAAGTGGACAAAAGAAACTTAACTGCTTGTCATATAAAGTGCAACTCTCTTTGAGGAAAGACAACAAAATCCAGACGCTTGACAATGTACAACTCACAGTCTCTAGCACCCAATAAGAATCACTAGACATGCAAAGTAGTAGGAAAATATGGTCCAAAATCAGAGCCTGAGCTTTTTCTGCTTCTACAGAAATCTCATTCATATAATAAGGTTTAGCTATTGTGCAAAGAGATTATTAGATAAAAGCAGGGGCCAAGAGTGATATTCCCAGAAGGAAGGGGCAAGAGGGTACTTAGTCCCTGGCCGAGGAAGGCCAAATCGACCCAGAACAGAGCCACAATCAGAAGGAAGTCAGAAATCAACACTGAGAGAAGCTGGGTTAAAGAATAATACCTTCTGGGGTGCCTGGGTGGCTCAGTGGGTTAAGCCTCTGCCTTCGGCTCGGGTCATGATCTCAGGGTCCTGGGATCGAGCCCCACATTGGGCTCTCTGCTCCGCGGTGAGCCTGCTTCCCCCTCTCTCTGCCTGCCTCTCTGCCTACTTGTGATCTCTCTCTCTCTGTCAAATAAATAAATAAAATCTTAAAAAAAAAAAAAAGAATAATACCTTCTATGTTGGAGGATGATCTGGAGGGAGAGTGGAGGCAGAAATAATTAACAGGCTTTTTACTTCTGAATTGCTTAGGACAGGTTATTTTGAATGTGGTTTATGATCTCAACTGTTGATGCACGAAAGTCAGGGACCATATATATATGTATATGTCTATATATAGATATATAATTTTTATATATATGTATTTTATATAAAATATATATAATATAAATACATATTTAAAATATATTTAAAATACTTAAATATAAATAGATTTAAATATAAATAAATATATTTAAATATTTTAAATATATTTTAAATATATATTTATATTATATATATTTTATAGATATAATAATATATTTTATGTATATAAACTTTATTAAGCCCGATTCTCATATATATATATTCTCATATATATATGTATATGTATGTGTGTATATATATATGCATATATACATTTTTATATAAACTTTGTTAAGCCTGATTCTAAAGGCTTGGAACTTGTTCCGTCTACTGGGGTGACCGGTACTAAGGTTACTGCTTCCCTAAAATAGGCCTCTGAGAGGCAGCAAGAAATACAATGGAGCCAATATTCATTTCTTTTTTTTTTCTTCCCCAAAATATGTTCTCAAGAACTCACCCTATGCTCAGTTCTGTGCTAGACACCTTTAGGAACAAAGGGAGAGAGAAGTTTATGGTTTAAAAGAGGAGTTAGACACCTGAATATTTTTTAGACTGAATACAAGCTCCTTCAGGGAGAAGCAGCGAGTTTCATGGTTATTTTTAATACCATTCCCAAGACCCTGTGTGAAATAGCTGCTCAGGAATTGGCTATCAAATTAAAATATACTCATGTAGGTCTATGTAGATAAAAGTCATTTAATCTTCACACACCTCTGTGAAGTGGACAGTATGAACCCCATTTTATAGGCAAAGGGACTGAAGTTCACAAAAGGAAGGGACATGCCCAAGGTCACCCGGCTCCCGGCCTAGGACCCCTCTCGCTAGCCTGTCTCCTCCTGGATCGACTAGCAACAATGTCAGATCCCATGCCTGCATTTCCACCTATAATGTGCATAAGAGAGTTTGTTTCCATCCCTTCTAGCTGGTGGAAGTTGAGCTACTGCCTTTGTATTTATATTGTTTTTTCACTTACAAAACAAAAAGTGAAATGCCACCAAGCCCTTTTAAAAAACAGTAACACTGACCCCATCTATCCCTGCCATCCAGAAATGATAAATAGCATTGCTAAGGCCCTCGGTGAACGCTACCTTTATGGATGTCTCCCCTGGCTTGGTATCAACTCAATTGCATTCAGTGTTTCTGCTGACCACAGAGAAATGCAAAATGGGCATTCTATTTGTACACTAATTTTACTGAGCCCCTGCGTCTTCATAAAATGATAACACGGGGCTAATAAAAATCAAGCATCTCGGGTGCTAATATAAGCAAATGTTGATGCAGGCAGGTAACAAATTGCTTTGTCATTTAAGAGGCCGTAAAAGAGCATTATAATCATCTTTAGGCAAAATGGATGGGTCGCCTTTGCTTAGCTTTTAGCTTTCATTTGCAAAATCAATTTAAGGTAATGTAGCTGCTCTGAGGTGGTGTGACATGGGACACCTCCCCCCACGCCTCCCCCTGCCACCCTGTCACTGCATCTCCAGACTCACGCAAAGCCAATTAAACATATTCTTGGAGGAGGGGTGATGGAGGAAGTATGCTTGAACAAAGCCAGGGTGGAAAGCAGCTGAACAATGAAACCAAGAGCAACTCGTAAGCAGTGATGAAATTGGAAGTTCATTGAGAGGGACATGCTCAAGGATACAAGGGCACACTCATGAGAAACCAGATAGTTAAGGTGTTTGAAGCCAAATGTACTTTGGGTAGCATCCCAACACACATACACACCCTTTTGCCATTATACGCCTCTATCATCCACTATTTCCTTATTTATAAAATATTTATCAAACACATACAGGGTAGCCAGGCACTACCTACTATTACCTTCATTTTACAGAAAACCAAGGCCAAGAGACATTAAATGACTCACTTTAGTTCTCCCAGCCCAGGACGGGCAGCGTGAGGCCCCACCCAGGCAGTCTGACTCCACCGGTGTCCTTAAACCCCACACTACTCTGCTTCTTGTGAAGGAGGACGACAACGAGAGCAACCAAGTGGTATTTGTTCAGTGGTATTTGTTCAGTACTTACTCTGTGCCAGGCACTTCACATCTATCACCTTAGCTAACTATCACAGTGACCCAATGAAACATCTATTATGCCTACCTCTATTTTATAGATGAGGAAATTGAGATCTAGAAAGGTGAACAACACATCTACACCTGCATGAGTGGCGCGTGTGGGGGCCAGGATGAAACCCCAGGTCTTATGAATCTCAAATACATGCTCTTCACACCTCTTGGAGATTAAATAGGGTTCATGGGGTGGTTTTAAAACTACATCCACAAATTCTTCTTTGTGAATCTCTTCCCTTTGAGGGGTGGAGATGAAACCCTTTCCCTTCAGCGTGGGCTGGACAGACAGGCTTGCTCTAGCAAAGAGCATGCTGGTGGGGGGGTGGTGAAGGCAGGTCACTCTTTTGAGATTAGGCTATAAAAAGATGGTGGTTTCCATCTTGGGAGCTGTCTCTCTCTCTCTCCTTCATCGCTCACACTGAGGAATCCGACTGCCATGATTTAACACTCAGGTAGCCTGTGGAGCCCTCACCTGTCTGGTCAGGAACTGAAGTACCCAGGAACAGAGGCCAGCCAAAACCATGTGAGCAAGTTTGGAACGGTATCCTCCAGTCCCACATGACCACAGCCATGGCACCATCCTCCAACCTCCTGAGCCAGGGCTATCTAGCGGAACCGTCCCTGCCTTCCTGGCCCAAAGAAAATGGGAGATGATAAGTCATTGTTCTAAGATGCTGAATTCTAAAGGAAGTCGTCAGGCAGCAACAGATTAATGAATCCCCCTGGAGATGGCCAAAGAAACTTTGCATCTTACCTATGGATGCCCAGCCTGAGTAAGACCAGAGCCATAACCCTAGTGTCAACATGGAGGGAGAGCCTTAATGGATCAGGTCAGTCATCAGTGGACCTGTGGCTGGTGTAGGTGCTGGAAGATACTGAGAGGCCCCACAGAGCACTAGTTGGGACCTCTGAGCACAAAAAACTCCCAGAAGTTC